CAATGGTTTTTCTACAACAACCAAACAGTTTGCTGATTTCGTTTATTCTAAATCCCTGCTCAATAAGATATTGAAGCTGATCCTCTTGTATATCTAGTTTGAGCCCTCTACACAAACCAGCGGCTTTAGAGGTTTCAATTTCTTTGTAAAATGACGAAGTGAGGCTTCTCAGTACTAGTAGCACTTGTTTCTGGTCATCATTATTCTCATAGTCGAAAGTCAATACTATGACAGCAAACTGAAGTATTTCTTCAAGTAAACTAGCGAGATCTTCTTTCTTGTCCACTTCAGCTTCTTCTTCATAACACGACTTTATTTCCATAACAACAGTCTCAGCAATCTCTAGTAAAAACATACAATTGTCATCAGTGCTCTCCTCACATATGGCAGCCATTTTGAATAGAACACGCCTACAAGTTGTAGGCGGGACCCAACTATTAATTAATTTATCCATTAAGCATTTATCTATTATGTTTATTGTGCACGTGCATGAGTTAGTATACGAATCCAAAATCGATTTCGACGATGCACTTCGCGCATCGCATCTGCTGCCTTTCTTAATAAATTTTTCCTGTCGCATTTGGCGTTCCATATAAACGGGGCTATACACATATGGATATGAAACAGGATGCGCTCGATCCTTGGCACCGGAAGTGATGTATTGTGACGTTTAAACTACATGTGTATAAGCATGGCACAAGCAAAATAATGAAGAAATCCAGTTGAATTACTTACTAAAGCTCAGGTCTACGACTATATAAGAGTTGCAATCGATACTCTAGTTCTAAAAAGTGAAGATCTACTATTACAAGAAAGAATGCACTGTGCTAAGTACTAAAAAAATTATTATTTAAATTATTATCATTATAACTGTTGATGATTATTCTATTCTTCAGTGACCCAATAGATTGATTATTATTATGAGTCCTTCAACAAATTTTAACTATAAAAATAGCAATAAAAACATTGACAACAATTATTATAAGCCGCACTTACTGTATCACCATACAGTACATACTGTAATGTACATCATCTCTGTCTTGATAGTTCTCTGTGGTAGCATAAATATAAAGCTTTACAATCATGTAACAATGTCTCATCAATGCCACTGAAATCCTGCTTGTGTTTCTTGGTAAATAACCTATTCTTTCACTACTCAGTTCTCACTAAAAATTAAACCACACCCTTTGAAACACTTGCAAAAAATATATTATTACTTTTGAAACATAGCATCTAGGAAAATGAAACCATAAACAGTCTATATAAGAGGCCTTAATGAATACACTCAAAGTAGTAACTTGTTCATACCTGGTGCAGAAGTCTCAAAAAGGTGGTTACAAAATTAATATTAAAAAAACTAGTTTTTGGCTATTATCTCAGTCATTTCTCATTACATTGACACGAGAATAGTTTCAGTCTATGTAACAAACAATACACTATTATGATTCCAAGACTTACTAGCTAACTCCGTTCGAGAGTCTAGAAAAGGTGGTTACAAATAAAAATGGAGGTCTTCTAATTTTGTCATGTAAACATGAGGCCTGTTGACAAAATGAAATGAGAATATATTTATTAGGTCTACTGTACAAAACAAAAACACCTATATACCTTCTTTCACAAAAATAAGTGAGTCAAGAAAATTCTTGAAAACATAGACAGAGAGAAAAGCGCCAAGGATAGAGCTATGCTGGTTATGACGTTTACAGGTGAACTTCAAAGAGTTAATTGGATACCGACTTCCTGTTTCATATCCATGTGTGTATGTAGTATCAAGAGTGGATAAGGAGGAGGGGAGAGTGTCTAACTGCCTATGCTGCACTGCTAGTGATATGTGCGCGTAGAAGTTTCATGGTTATTATTTGTACATTCCCGCATACCTTATTTAGCACAATAAGTGATAACTGCACTGAAGCCATAGTTGGGTGTGTACTTAAGTTAACTGTATAAAAATGGCTGCTGAAAGAGCCTGGACCAGAGACCTTGGAAGCAAAATTTGACCTCACCTTGTTGTACCAGTCACTTTGTACCACTCTGAAGAGATTTATAGTTTCCAAGCACACAAACCATGTTTGTTATTGACACATGAAAAGCTCTTGATCAATGATCATCCTCCTTTAGTCTGGTCCCTTGGGACCCACAACATCAAGAGTAAGGATAATAATAGAAGTGAAAGAATATGTGGTACATGTACTTTTGAGACGGGGCTGTTAACTGCTGTTGATCTTAAAAACGAAGTATTACAGATCTGAGTTCACTGGAGCAGAGGCTTCTGACTCTTGGCTCCATGTCCTCTTTCTTGATGCTTTAGGGCGCTTAGGTGTAGTGGCATGGCGCTCATCAAGATTAGATGCTCTCAATCTGTTGTAACAGTCATGATCATCTGGATTGTGCTGTAGTTCTGACTCTTCCTCTTGAAACATCGTGACTACACGTGTGGGTGGGTGCACCATATAGGTTATTAAAAACACACCCATTTACTATCATGGCTGTTGATGTTTAAACAGGTCAAAGAAGGTGCTAAACAAACTGTGAAAGACTTCTACGCGCACATATCACTAGCAGCATAGGGCAGTTAGACACTCTCCCCTCCTCCTTATCCAC